TTAAATGAATCATAAAGTGCATGACTGATCGCAGGCGCTATGTGACATGAAGGCATATGCACGCATTTTGGCGTAGACAATGTTGAGTTCTTGAGCCATTCACTATTAATAAATATTTGAATTTGAATGAAAGAACTTATGTTATAAAAAATGTTTATATCGTCCCCAGTTTTCTGAAGTTCACTGTAGTACTAAATATGAGCATGGTTCTAAAACAGTAAAGAGTGAATTAAATGTAAAGTTTAATATTTTGCCAACCGGTGGCTATTTGTTTAAAGGAAAAGTCCAGGATAACAACATAATACTCCTAGATGAAAGAACTTGGCATATGTAAGAAAATGCAATTTTTTGTATATCACTTTTTATTATCTAGATATTCAACTTTTCATCAGTTTATGTAGTCCACCATCTTGATTCTTCAGCAAAGGACTATGGGTAAAGTAGGTCATATCCTCTGTTGTGAGAAATTGAGAAAATGATTTCATCTTGGAGCATTATGTTGTTTGTTTTGACTTTCCCGAAGGCTGTTCCAGAGATATATCTCTGACATGCCACGATAGATCATGTTCAATTATATACATCATACATATTTAATCATTTGTTGATCTGATTCAAGATGACTGAATTGTTTCAATGTTAAAAAATCATCAAACAACAAGAATTTCAGTCTGTAATTCTGAATCTGGATCTTGGTTGGTACAAAATGTAGATTTTTTTCAAACTTTGTACATGTAATATGTACATTGTACTTTATAGGACCTCTATGCATGTCATTTTGTTTGTCAGATCAGTCTCAAAATGGCTGCCTAGCGGTCATTTTGTTTTAGTGAATGCCATTCTGAGGTCATATCTCTGACATGCTCTTGTTCATGTTCAAACTATATATTATTTAAAATTGAAAACGTACAAGGACTGTGTTTATTTTCTGATTTGAGACTCTACGAACTAATGCCAACTTAGGGTGCTATAAAGAGGTCATTATTTACAATGATGGAATTGCATGGGTTAAGTTTTGATGGGCAGCCTCATTTGTATCAGGTGGTTGATTTGAACAATCCAATATACATTAAGAAATGGTAATCAAGAGAATTCTGATAGAATTGGGTTATTTGTGTTTGACATTTGCCTGATGTCATCGCTATTATCTGTTTTAGGATTGCCTGTAATATGAAATAGACACATACAGTGTTTATTATCATCATCATTATGTTGTAGTTTTATTGTCTCTGGTAACTTTCATGCAATCCAGTTTTAAATTGAATACCGTATCTGTTCTATTACAATTTTGCTGTGTATACATGTACAAATTTAAATGAAACTATTTACCGACATGTAGATGGTCTGGGATAATCCATGTATGTGATTATTTCAGGGTTAAAATTTGTGCAAATTCCTGTTCTACAGGTATCTCAAGAAACACTCATTAGATTGTACATGTACTGTACATGCATAATAGTTACCTTAAATTTCTAATGAATGAGCCAGTTTTTAGATGATTTTCAGTTATTTAAAGTACAATTCATGACATTTTAATAAAACTTTAGTACTTGTGAGTTTTAGCAGACATTCTACAGACCTTTATTACTGTAGGGTTGATATCCTTGCATATCAATTACCTAATTTGCATATTTGCACTTTTTTTTTTAATATTTCAATCACTTATCAGAATTAAAATGAACTTGGTGTGTAGGTGTTTTAGGATAAATTATAGTCTGCAACCCACAAATGTACAATCAAATTTACTTCCCGATTTTTTTTATTAGTTTTTAAAAATTTAATCTTAAAGTTTTAATTACCACATTTGCTCTCTTGGTAGTGCATGTGCTTATGTAAATTACAAAGGTGTTTCTATGGTCTATGGAATAAATAATATACTATTTTTTTGTTTTTATGCATTTCTATCATAGTTACAGTTTTCACCTTTTTCCCCACCTAATTTCTGTTCAAATTTGTTGCTCTTTTTTCTTAAAATTCTTCAATATTTTACAAAAATGAACCCTGAATTTGAAGCCAACAGACAAAATTTGAGTCGATTTTTTTCCCTAATCTTCTGAATGAAAGTGCAGACTGTAAACGGGACTATTTTGAAAAGAGGAAACTGCATGTTGGTGAAAAAGTTATATTAAAGCAAATAAGATAATTTAAAAATTTTACCCTTTTCCACACGGAATTGGCATTTGGACTTCAATTGACTATCAAGTTTGCCTCGTATAGAGAAAACAAAATCACTGTTAAGAAGATAACAATTACAACCATTCTGAAATTAACATAATAGTTAAAACTTGAGACTGACTCACTATGAGTTTAATTTTGTCACGTCACTTACTGGATGTAGATTTCTTTGATTCAACCTGGTTGGAATGTTAACATTGATGTGTTGGAATGAAACCAGGTCACTGTTAATTCATATACATGTGTTGTTGGAAATGAAACACATCTGAACTCAGTGATACAAGCATTGAATATAAATAGCGGTATTCCTGAAGTCATGAATTTAAAATTAAATTTAGAGAGTTTAAAATATTTATTCAAATCTGTGGCACAACAAAGATATGCCTGAGTAATACATTTTGAGAGACTGTACTCACATATGCACATACAATGCACAGGTATCTACACATGCATTCAAATATACTGTTACATTAGGAGCAATAAGGAATGTTTCATGATATGACAATTCTTCTTGGAAATTTATGTAGAAAATATAATAATAAGATTCTGTGATCTTGTTTTCCCCACCAAATAATTGGTTTGGTTTTCTCACTCGGCTGTTTTAATGTAATGGTAATCTATTCTTGAAGAGAATGCCCATAAAATAGAGTGTTGATGAAAAATGTGACATCCTGACCCCCATAACAAAGGTGATAATATCGTGATGAGTACTTATCTTGGTTTTACTGTTTATGCATTGAATCTATGAATTATTCAATTTAGGTTCTTGACTATATCAAATGTTTCATGTTTTTTTCATTGTTTGTAATGCTAGTCTCTAAAGTTTTATTAAACAGATGTGCCATGATATATATTTTGTAAAAGTTTTATTTGTTATTTTGTGTCAGTATAAATAACAGCACTTTGTCACGTAATCTGTTATTAAACCGTATCATGCTCCCCTGTTATAAAATCACTTTTTGCAGACATTTTGTTATTTGTACAGCCATCAAGTTTATGACAGGAGTGTTGATTTCTGTAACTTTTATTAACATTAAATAAACAAAACAAAAATTACAGAAACAGATGAGAATATTAGCTTTAACGATTTAACAAACCAAACATGTGTGTACAAAATGTGTATGTATGCACTGTATAAGATGTGTTAGATGCAGTCAGAGTGACATTTGCAAACATATAAACAGGAAGGCCATTGGATTTTAACTTGTGACAAGACGTACTATTATAATTAAAAGGAGATAACCAAGTTTTTGCATGATACATGTACCAACAAAAAATAATCATTGAAGTCATTTACCTGGAATACTGTGATATGAGTTGAAATGCCATTTGCTGATAAAAGTGAGAACAATAGACTATTAGGCAGGGCTTATCTTAAGGAGAATATATGTCAAAGAATCTACATTATATCACTTATCACTCATACATATGAAGACCCATGCAAGCTAATTATCACTACCATGATTCAGAATTGAGATTTTATTTAGTAGATTTTATTAACAAAGCTAGCTATCTTTGATTTAGTTGCCATACTGTGTTCCGGGTAACAATTGTTAGCCTTCCAGCCATTTTCAGAAGAAAAGGGCTATTTTAAGTGACTTTCAACAGAAAAAAATAGACAAATACACAACCAATTAAGATTTAATATACCTACTTGTATTCACTATAAATCTCAAAGTGAATCAACTTGATATTTCACAAACTACACAGCACCACAGTCTTGCTGAGGCAATGTGTTCCAGCTGCATAATATATTGTAGTATATACTGTAAAATCTGAATTAGAAACCGTGGCTTCTATTAAAATGGTACTGTACAATACAACAGAGGGGATGTGGCTTCTATTAGAGCATGTACACATATATGAAATGATGAATTTTTGGTTCTCAATTATTCAAAAAGAATAGGTGCGACTTCTATTAAGGATGCAGCTTCTAATACACATTTTACGGTAATATTATTGCCCAAATTTATGCTTGTGTACATCAAAAGGTATTGACAAGATGCATTGCATAGGGACAATGCCAAAGATATTGACAAGATGCATTGCATAGGGACAATGCCAAAGGTATTGACAAGATGCATTGCATAGGGACAATGCCAAAGATATTGACAAGATGCATTGCATAGGGACAATGCCAAAGGTATTGACAAGATGCATTGCATAGGGACAATGCCAAAGATATTGACAAGATGCATTGCATAGGGACAATGCCAAAGATATTGACAAGATGCATTGCATAGGGACAATGCCAAAGATTCCAAGGACATCAATTCTGTTAATTTCATATTATCTTTATTAGTATACATCCCTTTTTAACAGATATTTGAAAAAAATGTTTAGCCATTAAAACTATATCACTTTCAGATTTTCAGTGTTTGCTACCAAGTGCTGGCAGTAACAATATCAAAATTTTCAGAATCAAATGCGCCATATCCTCACACTTTTGAGTGTTTATTTTCACTCGTCATGAATCCTGAGAAAGGCCATAACTATTCTCTTATGCTTTAATACAAGCTAAAAAGACCATCTGGCATATTAACAAATATCTTCAGAAAGTTTTAATGCATGTATAAGCGACCGGGATATCTACTTTAAAGAACGCCTTGACGAATCTTATTAATAACATCTGATGAAATTTTTTCATTCATAAAATGTCTGATAGATTCAATGAGCAAATTCTAAGGCTTGAACCATTCATATTTAGTTCCTGTTCAGTGTAGTTCAAGAACAAGGACTTGTAATTTCAGTTTTCTTGCAGTTTAATGATAAAAATAGTGTGGTTTAAAATGGCAAGGTTTTAATCATTTCACTATGTTTTCTTGTAGTTTGATGATGAAGGTAATGGAGTGATATCAATGGAAGATTTTCATACAATTCTCAATCACTATGGTCTGAAGAATGAATTAGATTCTCACAAATTGGGTCGTTTGAAATCGACAATTGACGACAACCGAGATGGATATATAAGCTATCAGGAGTTTGTTAATGTGGTACGTATGGTTTATTAGCTCTAGATCATTGCATGTTAGGTTAGACTCCACAATTACTGGTTTCCATCAAAGTTATTTTGTAACCAGTTTTAGTTGCTTGTGAAAAACATTATCACTGTACTTTGTTGGGTACAGCAATATCAAATTGACTGAATAGCTTTCTTCAATCAAGACCTACTATTAAACTTACTGTCACAGTCCATTTTACACAAGTGTGTCTAATAACAAGTAAATGTACAAA